TGCTCTCCATACCCCACCGTGCTGCTCGAGCAGGGGCAGCCCCGGCCACTCGGAACAGCCCCTCTGGGCCCGGACGTCTTTACCGTCCCGCCACCCAGCCCTGCTCAGACCTGAGCGAGTCGGGAACAAGATGCCCTTGCCTGGTCCCCTGGAGGGCTCCTGCTGGCGCAGCTGCCTGGGAGGAAGCAGGCCGTGGCAAAGCGAGCTGAGCCCTGAGCAGGCTAGTTAATCATAACCTAGGCCGCACTGCACTCGGTCTCTTGTTTCACCACCTTTCACCTCCCTGCCGCCCGCCCAGCCAAGCAGGTGCACAAGAGGCGCCTTCTTCTGCAAGGGCGGCGTTAGGCTGCTGCCCACCACCGGGGATCAGCTCTGGTAGCCGACCCCACGCAGAAGGAGCCTCGTGCCCGTCTGACACCGTCAGTCACGCTGGGCGAGCCCGACCTGGCACGGAGATCGCCTGGGCACTCTGCCCAAGGGGAGGGCGGGGAGTGAAGTCAGGGCTGGGTGTTGCTGGAAGCCAAGTGACAAGCCACTAAGTCAGGGCATGGGGACTGGACCATATGGAACGTGCTGACGTGAGAGCGACGTCCCCAGGGCAGAACGGGCTAAGGAGACACCATACCCTAGGGCCTAGACAGGCAGGGCAGTGGCACATTGGCGAGCACCGGGAGACACTCAACCTACGGGCGGGGTTCTTCCTTCTCCCTAGTCATTTCATCTTCCCGAAACTCCTGGTGACCTAGCCCGGACTACACTGGGGATAAGGTTTGCCTAACTTTGTCAATTGGGGGTGTGGCTTTTTCACACCTCATTTTAATGTAGCTGGGTTGACAACTTCTTAGGGTAGACCTGGTTTTATACTCTCACGGCCTGCACTGGGCGGATTCAGCAAATAAGCATCTGGAATGCCTTCCGTGTTGCCTACCAGTTACAGCAGAGGACTTGGAGGACTCCTGGGCCCAGTTCCCCATCTCGGGGAGGGGAGTGTGATCTAATGATCGGTGCCAGGGCAGAGGGATGAATAGGGGAGTCAGAACTTACAGGTCCTGTTCCAACCAGGCACTGTGCGCTTGGACAAATCACAGAGCTGCATTCTGCCTCAGTTTTCCCATCTCTAAAATGGGTCCAATAACATCTCTCCTTCTGCACAAAGTTGCCGGGAGGCTCAGTGAACCGTTACCAAGCCACCACGCTTGAGGAAGGGAGCTAGAGAGCAGCACTAAGTTAGCATTCAGCCCCTGGCCTGGGTCAGCATGGCCCATTCACCAGTGTTAATGAAACCAGCAAGAACTAGCAACACCACCCCTGGAAGGAGGCAGAGCTCTAGCGACGGCAGGGGGAGGGCATCTCTGTTGAGGGCACCAGCGTCCTCAGCCCCAAAATATCACCAAGCCAGTGTTTCCAGAAACAGAGCCAAGCGCTAGGAGTAGCAGCATCGCTTCCCTTCTCCTCCCATGCCCTGCAGGGTGGACCCAGGCACACGAATGACTTGGCCAGCAGAGTTCAGGTTCAAGGAACGCCGGGGGCTGTCACCCAGTAGCCTGAAAGTGTAGACACTTGGTTTGCTCTTAGCATCTGCCGCACGGCAGCAATGCTGCTCGGCCCAGATAAGGCACGCGCAGGAGGTCGGGGATCCTGGTGGGGGAAGATACGAAGGAAACGTTCCCGCCTAGGCGCTAGATGCAAAACCGAAAGTGCACGTGGTCTGGGTGAGGCGGGTTCCTACAGCAGCTTCCCTTGAAGCATTTCACAGCCAATGGGTCCTGACCCCCAGCCCCAGCCCTTTAGCAATGGGATAAGTGACTGGAAGAGGAGCCCAACTCCACTGCCCTGCTCACAGCCCCTATAGGATCTGGGTAAACATTACTGCCCCCTCACCTTTTGCAAGGGGGAAACGGAGCAACAAAGAGGGGATGGGCCGTGCTCCATAGGTCACAGCGCCCCAGCAGGGACCAGCAACCTTGACTGCCCAATCCAGAACTCCAGCTACAAAAGGCTCCTTCCAACGCTGGACAATGCCTGTGGCTAGAACCAGCTGGTGAGAGTCAGGACTCCATTCCCAGCGCGGGGAAAGCCCTCGAACCAGACCACGTTAGCGCCGTGCCAGGGTCTGTGCGCCTGCGTAAAGCGAGTCTAGTGGCTCCTACCTTGCAGGGAGCGCGTGTCGAAAGTGCTTTGAGAGCGAGGCACGGACAGCTATTTCTACTGGAATGCCCCCCAAAGCCGAGTTACGTTCTGATGAATGTGGCTTGTGCCCAACTCTGCACATCTTGTGAGCCCCGAGGAAGCAATCAGAGCAGAATGCAACCCAGCCTGCTCATTACAAGGGGGAAAGTCCCTAACACGGGCTTTTCAGATCAGAAAGTTTCCTGAAACCCAACACAACTCCTCCACGCACACCTACCCAGACACTGGTTGGCTCTTCCCAGAATGCACACTCGCGGTTACCAGTAGAGTCACTCTCCGAAAAGCAAATGAATAATTCAATATTGACAGCCGGGGAAATAATAAACTCTCTTCACTCTCGCTGCTGAGTCACGGGGTCTCAGTTTGAGACATCACAACCCTTTGGTCTCTCTTGGTAACCACCACCTCTCCAAGCACAAGGCAAGGCAGGAGCAGAGATTTCAAGATAAATGGCCTGAGTCACCCAGAGTCACTGTTAATGACAAGGCTCAGGACAGGAGCTGTGATTTGGGAAACCCCTCGGGGAAGGGAGCTTTTCCCAGGCGGGGCTGTTGTGTCAGAGACGGGCAAGATCACCCAGTTTGCAAGACTGCACATTCCATTCCAGTAAGCCATAGATCACACAGATGATAGAGGGATCCCTGCAATGCAGCCACCTCTGGAGAGGAGCAGGGCAGCTATGCAACAGCCACGCAGCAGCAGGAGCTGGCTGCTCTTGTAATGGATGGCTTGCGAACAAGATCAAGGAGATTGTTTTAAAATGTAAGGCTGCAAAACCCCCCTACATGACATGGCCCCTGATGTAGGAGTAAAATCTTGTCCTCCCTACACTCTCCAAAACCTTCCCCCATTACAACGTGCCCACATTGCCAAGAGAGAACAGACCCGGACACTCAGCCCAGAGAAAGCCACGTTCCAAATCCTCTCCAAATAGCAATGAGCCCCTAGGATCTAAATGTAGACTTAGCAGCAGTTCTAGTGCAGAGATGACCACGGAGCTATCTACAGACAGATTCACGGCTGGAGAGAGGACACTAAATATAAAATCCTGGGCAGCTTTTAAAGATCTCTATGAAATGTTCTTCTTTTTTTCCAGGCGGGTTCGTTATTTATGGCAGGACGTCCCTTTCGGGGGGAAAACAAACACGCAATGCCAGGGAGGTAGGACGCGGCAGCTCTAGCGCAGGAATGGAAGACGGGCTGTGTTTGCCATCCGGCAAACCTGGGTTCAAATCCTGCTCAGAACCGATTGTGGGCGAGAGTGGGATGGAGGCAGCAGACTTCCACCCTATGGGAGCATCTCCTGGTGCTTAGCAGGAATCGGGTCTCAGCAGAAACCAGAGTTGCATCCCTACAGGGTACTGTCCTGATCCAAAGTCAACGGGTGTCCACCACTTTTGGACCAGAACCGCTGGGCAAAGCAGCAGAGCTCTGAAGCTTTCCAAGTACAGGAGCCCCTTGGATTTCTCTGACCTTCACCACCACGCGTGGGGGGAAAAACATAGCACCCCTGCCATATGGGCTGAGGAGCCACAGAATAGGAAAACCCAAGTCCCTGGGGAATCCTGCCTGGTTGGGTGCCAGGTGCAAAGCATGGGATGGGCAGACTGCCACCACGTGTGCTAACCAAGCTCCCTGGTGCCAACATGAGCATGGCAGGGAGGTGTGTGTGTGGGGAAAGAAAGGACAGCGGGGCTAGGCAAACTTGATAGCAGCAGGGGAAAATAAAACACAGTACATGAAGGGGGAGAGAATTTGAAGCTACCAAACAGACAGAACTGCCCCCCCCCCCCCAATCACACCCCAGAGTGTAGCAATGGGAAGGAGGGTCTGTGCCAAGAGCTCCCCCCAAACCCAGCCTCTGAATCCTGTTTGGCTGCGCAGGCTCCGACTAGATTCCAATGAGACGCAGCGGAACAGAAAGAGGCTCGACAGAGCTGTGGATCTGTGCTCCAGCCCCTTCCCAAAGATCTTCCCGCACGGCACCTGGCAGGACAACGCACAGGAAAGCCCCCATGCTGTCTGCACTGGGGACACCTCCGGTCACACAAAGCAGGTTTTTAACTGGCTAGCAAAGGTGGAGGCGGGCGAATGTGCCAGGCAAGCAAAATCTGCAGACAGGGGAGCCGGGGCCAGCTAGATCAGCTGTCGCCTGGCTTACTGGACAGCCTCAGAGACAGTCTGCAGAGGTAGGTCTCGAGATGCAAATTCGGGGGCGTCTGGACATGGGACATTGGATCCAGCCTATTAGAGAACTGGAGGCCAGACGCAGAGTTGAGATCCTGCACCCGGCTCCGCTCCCTCTGAAGCCTGGGAATTTGGATCAGATCCCTTGCTGATTCGACATCACGTTACTAAAGGCACTTTCACCAGGAGCTCTACGCACTAGCCGCCCCCCCCCCCCCCCCACAAGGACAGCGCCGGCTCCCAAGCACCCTGCGCCGTCCATGTAGCAGTATATTGCCAGGAGGCAGGGGAAGCCAAGAATCACACCCCCCTTACACCCACTGCCTCTGTAACACCCCAGCCAGGGCACAGATATTTCCCTTCCTCCTCCGGATCGGGTTTTCCCCCTCTTCACGTCCCTCACCATTTGCCAAGCCTATTACAACACGCTATTCGCTTGGCCCATGGCCTTGGGATATTTGTGGCTTCTATCCCAAGACTGCCAGCCCCGGCTGTTCCCACTCCAGCTTCTAGGGACTGCCCCATCCTTGGAAGTGGGGGGAGAGGGGGGAATTCTTCCACTACCAGCTACCCCAGGGCTTAACATGGCTGCAGCTTTTGTGGGCACTGCGCAGGGTGCTTACCGTGCCTTCAGCTCCTTGAACTCCTCCCGCACTTTGCTCAGCTCCAGCTGCAGTCGTGCCCTCTCCTTGGCCACCGAATCCAAGGTCTTGCGGGCATCCGCCAGCTCCGATTCGTAGGCCGACTTGATGCCGGACACCTCGCGGCTCACCACCTCCTCGGACTCGGTGATGCGCAGCCGGAGCCCGGCATTCTCCGACTCCAAGGAGCGCACCCGGTCGATGTAGACGGCCAGCCGGTCGTTGAGCTCCTGCAGATCCTCCTTCTCCTGCAGGCGGGTGATGCGGGTTGGAGAGAGCGGGGTGCCACCCGCACCGCTCCGGGTGGTCCTCTTCTGAGACGGGGTTTCCATCGCGGTTCACAGCCTGGCAGAGAGACAGAAGCACGGGCCAGGGACTCAGATCTCTGGAGCTGCCCTCCCCGTGTCTGCCTCGCGGGTACTGACAGTCTGAGTCACGGACCTCAGCTCAAATATCCTTGGAAAGTAGGAGACGGGGAAGTGGGCGGGGCCACGCAAAATAGGACCGCCTCCCCCTCCCTTGATTAAAGGAGCAGAGGCTGCATTTAAAATAAGGGCTTGTTCACATGGGAAAGATATGCTCAGATGTAAATTTCAACAGCTAGCGGGGGAGGGGTTGCTGGGAGCCACTGAGCCAAATTGTAAACCCTGGATAATGGAAACCCCTTCAAAGCAGGGAGTGCTGCAGCCCCTCCCCCACTCCCAGCACCTCTGACAGCTGAAGATAGCAGCATCATCCCCATATGGATATTGTGGACCCTGAGCAATTTTGCATTTTAATGTATGCTGCTTTGGGAGGGATTTAAATTGAACTGCGAAGTGCCACTCTCGTCCCAGCTCTTCCAGAGCCCCTTTTTATCAGTCGATCTCAAAGCCCTTAACGAAGGAGATCAGGAGCACGATCTCCATTTTACAGATGGGAAAACCAAGGCAGTCAGCTGGGAAATGACTTGCAGGATCATGCAGCGGCAAAGCCAGACCTCCCTCTAGTCCCAGGGCAGTGATCTATCCCCTACAACACACTGCCTCCGGAATAAGAGTATTCCCACTGGAGCTACGTCTACACTGGCATGATTTTCCGGAAATGCTTTTAACGGAAACATTTTCCGTTAAAAGCATTTTTGGAAAAGAGCATTTAGATTGGCATGGACGCTTTTCCACAAAAGCACTTTTTGTGGAAAAGCATCTATGCCAATCTAGACGCACTTTTGCACAAAAAAGCCCCGATCGCCATTTTAGCCATCGGGGCTTTTTTGCGCAAAACAGCACTGTGCTGTCTACACTGGCCCTCTTGCACAAATGATCTGCGCAAGAGGGCTTTTGCCCGAACGGGAGCAGCACAGTATTTCCGCAAGAACACTGACAATCTTACATGAGATCGTTGGTGTTCTTGCGGAAATTCAAGCGGCCAGTGTAGACAGCTGGCAAGTTTTTCCGCAAAAGCAGATGATTTTGCGGAAAAACTTGCCAGTCTAGACACAGCCTGGGAGTTCAGATTAGGGTAACTGACCAGACTGGCTACCCGGGAGGGTATTTTTATTCCAGAAGAAGGCCTTGCCTACAGTGGGAGGCCCAGGAAAGTTTATCCAAATTAACAAAACACATGAATGTAAGTAGCTTTTAATCCACGTTGGAACGCTCATTTGGAATAAGCAGCACATGGCCCAGTGGGTAACGCACATCAAGACTCAAGGGTTCTCCTGCCCAGCCTCGGCAGCTTCATGGATTCAGGACTCCTGCATTCTCCTCCAAGTGCTAGGTGGGAGTGTGGCCTAGTAGGCCATGTCTACACTAGGATATTAGGTTGATGTAGCTTCATTGCTGGGGGATGAGCTGTAGATCAAGGGGGAATTCCTCCCTCAGAAGGGTGGATTAAGTATCCGGGCAGGAGAAGCGCTCCCATCGGCACAGGCAATATCATCAGGACTACAGCTTTGCAGCTGCAGGATCTGAAGCCACTCATTCGAGCAGGGGGCTCGGATCCAGGTGAGGAGTGTAGTCTAGTGGTAAGAACAGAAGGGACTCGGGACCAAATTCAAACAGGAGCAGCCACATAGACGGGAAGTGAGCATGCTCCAGGGCAGAGACACTCAATTTATCAGGTATCTAAAAGTGCGTTACAAGGAGGAGGGAAGAGAAATTGTTCTCCTTGGCCTCCGAGGATAGGACAAGAAGCAATGGGCTTATACTGCAGCAAGGGAGGTTTAGGTTGGACATTAGGAAAAACTTCCTTCCAAACACTGGAATAAATTGCCTAGGGTAGCTGTGAAATCTCCATCACTGGAGATATTTAAGAGCAGGTTAGACAGACATCTATCAGGGATGACAGTGCTTGGACCTGCCATGAGGGTAGGGGACTGGACTCGACGACCTCTCAAGGCCCCTTCCAGTTCTCGTGTTCTGTGATAACCTTTCCAGACCACTGTGCCCCTTCCAGGAGTCTGGTTTGTGTTGCATAGCCCCCAGTGTCACCTCACTTAAAAATCAGACATAGAAATACCAAATCAGACATTGAAATATGCAGTCACAGTGCCCAGTTATTGAAAAATGGCTCTTTCCCATTTTTACCTTACACAATAAATACACTGGACTATAATTATACTTACATCTTAGTAAAAACATCAAAGTGTCCTGTGGCACCTTAAAGACTAACGTTTATTTGGGCATAAGTTTCCGCAGGTAAAACCTACTTGATCTGATGCATCTGGTCCAGCGACCCCTCTGAGACTTAACATTTTAGTGTTGAATATACAGAACGGCATAAACATGCATGAAATTTTAGTTTGTACTGACTTCGCACGTGCTCTTTAGACAGCCTGCTGTAAAGCTAGACAAATACCAACTTGTGTAGTTGTACCCCCGGAAGACTTCTGCGTACCCACAGGGGTACACATACGCCTCGCTACTCCAGGGAACAGAAAATCAGTCTTACAAGAGGACACTATGAGAGTTTGGCTGTTGAGCCTGGCAAAGCGTGGGCTGAGAGTGGATCTGATTGCGGTCTCTATATACATCCCGGCCAGGTGGCGGGCCAGCATGTTTGCTCCAGATGATGGTGGGGAGAGGGGAGAGAGAGGACATTTTCCTCCCCATCTCCTGCTGCCATTCAGATATGGCCCAAGCTGCTTGCAGCAGACAGTGCTTATGTGATGGCTTCCGGATCCCAGTCCCATCCGGCTCCGCGGGACGGAAACAGCAGGCCAGCAACACACTGCATGGCCTCAGCCTGCTGACACTCAGCTGAGCCCTGAGCCTGCCTGCCAAGGACAGCCCAATGTCCTGACAGAGCAAACAGCTGTGTGCGCATGCGGCTGAGAGCTGGCGGCAGGGGGGGTGTGGTTTGTCAGTAGGGACAATGGGACCTCCCCCCTTTCCTCTCCCACTGGCCACAGGAGCAGAATCGGACATAACTACCCAGCCACCTCCTACCCCTAGAAAGGACTCCCCCCCCCACCCCTGCCCAAGGGCATCAGGAAACTGCCCAGCTCCCAGGCCAGTGTTCCCAAGGAGAGCACCTTAGCTTTATTTATGCAGCAGCAACTCCGAGGAGGCCAGGGCACTGTTAGGCCAAAGGCGACACAGACACAGCGTTGTCCAAACCTTTCTAGCACAGGAAGCGGGTGCCCAACGTTCTTCATTGATTCCCCCTCTCCCCAGTCAGCCCCCCAGCTTATTGGAAGTCTTTGCTCATCAGCTTACGAGTGTAATAACCACTGTTGCAGAGGGGTATCTACCATGTGTAGCTGTAGGGGGGCACAGAGCTTGTCCGGGGGTACATCAACTGATCTAGAGATCTGCCTAATTTCATAACAGGCCTCGTAAAAACCAGCACAAACTAAATTTCATACAAACAGTGATTTGTTTACACTGGAATGTAAGTGCAAGATCTGGCTTGGTCTACACTGGCAATTGTGCGACAACTTTTGTCGTTCACAGCTGCTTAAACCTCCCACCCACCCACTGACAAAAAGACACTTGGCCTGACAAGTGCTAGGGTAAAAACTTTAAAAAAACAACGAATTAAGTCTTGTAGCACCTTAAAGACGAACAAAACATGTGGATGGTATCATGAGCTTTCTTGGGCACAACCCACTTCTTCAGATGAATGCTGTTTAAGGGGGTCCAGTTTTCAAATAAATAGCACGGGAGAGGGGGGAATGTGGGGCGGGAAGAGGAGGAAAAAGGAAAAAAAAAAGAGGAAAAATTTTCAGTGTATCCATGCTCGATGAAGCTGATAGTAATATTTAGTACCTTAGTACTCGTGTCAACACCTCTTCTGCCCACAAAGCAAAATGCTGCTCTTGGTGCGAGGGGTTGAAAGCTTTTGGTGGGCAACAAACAGTATTTACCCTGTCTGACTTTTAGCAACACAATGCATGGTAAAAATGAGAAAGTCGGCAATTTGCAAAGGATTGCGTGGGGTGCCAATTGTGTATTCTGATATCCGATTCTGTAAGGAAGTACTTTTTAAGTGAGGGGAAACCTGATGGGAGGCAAGGCAAAGCAGACTCCTGAAAGGGGTACAGTAGCCTGGCAGGATTGAGAAGCACTTGTTGATAGCACTTCTTTTAACCGGGATCTGGCTAGCAGCCAGATGAGGTTGTTCTCTTTATGGGCTGTGTCTAGACAGCCCCTAGCAGCCTGGAGCTCGAGCGGGGCTCCCATGTGCCACCCCAGGACAAGTAATAAATTATACTATCAGGTCCACATCACTGCCAGTGCCTCCCCATCTGCCACATATTTATTCTCACTCTGTGCAGCAGGGTAGTGCTTATATCCCCAGTGTACAAATGGGGAAACTGAGGCACAGAGAAACTAAATCCCCCATCACACAGGGACACTAAGGCATAGCAGGGAATTGAGCTGCAGTTTCTTGAGTCCCAGGCTAGTGCCTGGACCACTGGCCCATCATTCCTCTCTCCCAGCTCTCACAGCGCATTACAATGGTTACCTGATGGAGGACAACAGGATTCCCATCCCGCCCCGCCCCCCTTTCCTCTCCCACTGGCTGCAGGATCAGACTCAGGCATAACTACCCAGCTAGCTCCTACCTCTAGAAAGGATTGCCCCACCACCTCTGCCCAAGGGCATCAGGGCATGCCCAGCTCCCAGGCCAGTGTACTTTTTAAGTCAGGGAGGTGCAGAGACTTGCTTAAGCTCACACAATGAATCAGTGGCAGAGCTGGGAATAGTCCCCAGCTCTAGCTACTAGACCAGACCCTCTTCTGTAGCCAGGAATAGAAGACAGGACCACTTGACAGACACCCAGGCTATGGCTCTAACCACTTAGAAAGGCCTCCACATGAAAAAAGGGCAGGTTTACTGAAGCCCTCCTGCACTGTCCATGATCAAGCCAAGCAGGCACTGCCCCAGCATGCACCAGTGCAGACAGGCAGGTTTGTTGCTAAATCGGTTCTATCCAGCTGCTTCCAGTAATCCCCCT